TATATATATATACTGTATATATATAATTGTCTTTAAAACTCATATTATACAGAGTGTTGTCCTTTGTGGATGTCCATTTCTTTGTGACAAATAATGCATCACTAATGCAGCAGCTCCCTGCACAGTCTTATTTGTGTGCGGTGCAATAAATGAGATTTGCCCTTTTCTCTGGCAGCTGGGTAGGCTATCAGTTTCCCGGTTACCGTGGATATCAGTACATCTTTGAGAGGGACAGACACCAAGGAGAGTACAGATGCTACAACGAGTACGGCACCCAGGCACACACCAATCAGATCCAGTCTATGCGCAGAATTCAGCATTAAAACCCAACACCACTGTGTACACCATGTCATGCCGTGTCAATACTATAGGCAATAAAGACATTATATAAACTATAGTAAAAGAGTGATTGTGGCAATTCCTTGCTTCTGTATACATCTCTGCTCAATTCATGGATCTGCTAAGTGATAATTCTTGATGTAAAACAAGCAGATCTGATGCTTTTTTAAGTTATATGTAATTAGAGCTGGCCTCCTACATTTCTAGGTAAATGTAAATATGCAGACATTTTAAGAATGTTGTTTTTCTAAAATACTCGGACTAGACTGATGAAGGAATAAGCCACTTCATTATATTTAACAATTAGGATGTTTTATGCCAGCTGAACAACAAAAACTCTTGCTTGATGTCCTACACCACCTATATGATGGATATGAGACTGTTATATCTATAATAAACAAGAGCATGAGTATCTTTATGTTAATGCCTCATTATTTGTTCTTCGTGGACCTGCTTTTGAGGATTTTAGCTACATTCACATATAAATTTATATAAAATGTATATTATTTTTCTTTATATATATAAAAAATATATATAAAATGTTAAGTTTTCATATATAAATAAGATATATAGAAAGTGCTGCTAATAACAAATCTAAATATTAGCAATTATTTATTTAAAATGAAGCATTACATATTTATGAAAATTATTTGTATTGTGTATGTATGTGTGTCTGTCTGTATGTATGTATTTGTATGTATATATATATATATATATATATACATACATATACACACACACACAGAGTAGGCTATATATATTTATATAAAATATACTGACTGTATTTTTGTAGGACTACCACTATAAATAAAATGTACTGTTATCACCAAAAACAATATCCTGCTGTAGTATCATGTATTTTTGCTGCATTCATCTGTTTTCTCTACAGCAATGCATTGTATTTATAGAGGGGAATACTGTAATGCACTGTACTTAGATTTAATTTGTCACTAAATTATTTAAAATATCATACTTTATTCTACATAACACCCGTGGAAAAGGACATTGAAAACAACTCTGAGTTTAAAAACATTTCTTTTTAAAGCAACAGAAAAAGAAAATGAAAAGAAAGAAAGAAAGAAACATAAAAATAAATAATTGACAATTTTTAATAAAAACATTTAAAGTGCGGTTAACAATTACCAAACAGTAATCTTATTTACATTTCATGTTCACACAAACGTGGACTAAAAACAGATAGCATAAGTTTTACAGAAACATATCAATACTGCCAGTCTTGAAAGTCACTTTCTTGGTTCTCGAGCCACGTTCAGGGTTGATGTCGATAAAGCAAGAAAAAAACTAATATTATGTATATTTTTGGACATGACATATGATACAGCCAATACGTATGGAAAATGAATTGGGAAATTACTATAAATGAACTTATTTATATATAATTATCATATATATGATATATAATGATATATTAAAATAAATTTAGTCAGTATACTATAAATGAACGAGGGAGAGGGAGTCTCATCCGTTTGGGTCTGTCTGGAGCTGTCCGAGGTCCTGACCTTGGTGGATTAAACACATGTCGCACATATTCTTTCTTGATTATTATTATTTAATTTTTTATTTTTTCACTGTTTAAAAACAGCCTAGATCTAATGCAATGGACGAATCTTTGTAAGAATGCTGGGCTAACGGAAGTACGGGTTCTTGTTCGTCCAATCAAATGGTTCGTAACCCTAGGATCCGGGTCTGATTCCGCCTCATATTTGTTTGCGTTGTAACCGTTCAGGACTCTAGCCGTACTTGGCTGCACACACCCACTCACAGGATCAGATGTGGACGGAGAAGTTGCTGTTTGAACACCCGATCCCACACCCAGTCCAGGATCTCCCAATAAATGTTCAACTGCACACACCTTTATCAAATACACATATCATACGAGCTGATTAAAAGTGTGCCACTCGTTCTTAGTGCAATGATTATAAGACAGACAAGAGTGCTGAAAGCAGCTGGATCTGAGACAGGCTGCAGTCTGACATAACAGGACGGGGTAAGTCAACTTACTGAGGGAGCAAACCAGGACACAGACCGGAACTATAGTGTGGGTTAGTTTAGGAAATAGCAGTCAGGTTATAAAGCTATGAATCACAAATCAAACCTTTTAAACTACACAGTAAAACATTTTAATAACTAACCTAAATATGCTACTTAAATGTAGGCTATAACATAAGTTGATTAGTTATATTCGTGTAAAATATTTAAATAAAACTCGTGTTTTTTAGAATTAAATCAACCTGACTAAAAGGTTACATAAACAAGAGAAGGAGACACAGTTTGTTGATGAATCTCTATAACGCAATGTATCTTAAGCTTAGATATAACTCATTTTCTAGTGTTTGCCTGCTTCAGATTAACGTTGTTTAACGTTGCTTCTACCGAACTCTAAACTGAAATGAATACTGAACAAATATAATGGGTGCTGCTGGTACAATTTACCCCCCTACTGGGGAAATTTGTAAGTCAATAATTCAAACATGTACATTTTATATTTATGGTGGAATTTACTATTAAATTAATTGTTATCCCACCACCGCCCTATATTTGATTTGAACATTTTCATTTTTTTCTCATTTTAGCTCAAACGATTGGATTCAAAACGCAAATACAATTCTCAGGGAAAAAAACATTCAGGGGAAAAATAAATAAACAAGAAAACCTGTGGATTCAGTAATATCTCCTTAAACGAACAATTCGCTTTTACAGTGTGTAATCATGCAAGTCCTTTACAGCTATAACCTGATATTAAAAACACAATTACATCTTCAGATATATACCAGATTTAAACTATTCTCTTTACAATTTGTATTTTCTAATTGACTTTGCATTAATTCTCTAATTGTTGCATTTAGGAGCGCGCACCAGCATGAAGTAACCCATGTCTCGTGGACAAACTGAAGAATCGCCTTGCATCCTGGGCTTGTTTTAAGTTGCCTGCGATCTATTTAATGACTCAGGCAGCTAAAGCAAGTCTGGGACGCCAGAGACAACACGACAGAGCGCGTCAGAACGATGCACAGAAGATGAGTAAAATGATTACAGATGATATTAATGTTTGTTCATGTCGATAATGATGCTACTCTGACAGTTTAAGCTGATGCAATCAATCATTGTGCAATTTACAGGTTAAATAAACACAATAAGTAGACTGCACATACAGTACCTACCTATTTCACGATCACAAGACTTCTTTACCATTTATTACCAAATATTTACCTTTATTGTCAGTTTTAAACAATAAATACACACCCCTGTACAGACAGTCAGCATTAGCATGTTTACTTGGCACAAGAAAATAAAAACATAATAAAACATTCATCTTCATTTTCGGTTAGTTCACGAGTGGAATGTCGTATGAATTATTGTCAAATATAGGGTGAACCCAATCTGTTCTGTTATTGTTGTTGTTGTTGTTTTAACAGTTTAAAACCCAAAAATCACAGTGTAAAATATGTACAACAGAATCTAAATCTATCTACATTTATCAGTGTTTGGTTATTTGTTAAGATTTGGTTTGGTAAAAAAGGTATAGCCTACATGAAATGTACATGACTTGTATAATAAAAATATGTTATCATTATGATAAAAGACCATTGTTATTGTCTATTATGCCCAGTTTAGAAAGGTATAATATTACGCGAATTTAGAAAGTTAGAATATTATGTGCTATATTCAAATAAAATAAAAAATTATCTCAGCCAGTATATACATGCATTATGTAACAGATGGGTTTACCATACCATCTATTGCTCATTAAAGCAGCATAAGTTTGGGATAAAATGTTCTTGTTTACCATTATGCACTGAGGCATGGTTAAAAGGTAAATATTCTCAACCAACATGGAACAGGCCTTTTTGTTTGCAAAGAGGTAAAAGGGCGGAAAAGAAAAAGGATCTGAACCGGTTTCCATGTCAAACACTTCAATTCTCCATAGAAACTCTGATCTTAACGCAGAAACTTTATTAAACCTTGATGGTGGATTGATAAGGCCGGATTTCTATCGGTTCCTTTTTATTGTGGAGACGGGGAGGGATGACAGAGGTAAATTGCTCTTTTAATTAAACCAATGCACCGAAGGAAATTGCTGTCTGAATATTGTCTCAGAGATGGGGCTTGTGACAGTTGCCTGGAAACTTCAATCTGTCTCGCATTTATTCCAGATCACAGTTTTGAGATAAAGTTTAATAAAAATCTTGGCGCCAATGAAAGCCTACCCTTTCACGTCCTCCACCGCCACCACAATGCGACAGAACTGCGGAGGAAGCCTTATGTTTAACATGTATCTCTCAGGTACACAATCTTTTTGTGTGTAAAATGAGAAATATTGCTGAAATGACTGAAAAGAAAAGGGCGATGCTTAGGGGTCCGCGGGTGCAATGCTGCGCACCATCGCCGGTGTCTCTGACTTCTCCATCTGGAACGCATGTCCTCTTTTGTCGGAAATCGGATATCCTTTTTCCTGGACGCGTTTCCTGACCTCAGCGCTGAAGTCTGGGCAAATACATCGAGCAGCAACACGACAATACTCATAATATTGAACCTCTTTTGCTGCGATTTGTTAATGATGATTATTGATGAGTGACATTACGTGTTTTGTTTTAAATTACAAATACACAGACGGGGAAATATGTTTAATGCATCTGTTGCGTTTTACTACTCCAATATTTCAGAAGGCATTTTCAATAAAATCACAGCTAAATTCTAAATGTCAGACGTATTTTCAAACGCTTTCTTTCAGACCCTACAGAAAATCTTTTGAAGGAAAGCAAAAGCTCTTCTTGGACCCCCATCAACACAGGAGTGCAAAAAGGTGAGTGTTGCGATGAATTGTTGACAGGCAAATGCGCTCACTTTCGTGCAAAAAATGTTATCGCATAATTTTAAAAAATATGCTATTGTGTGCATTGTTTTGTTTTTGTTTCTCTTATTGTATTGTTGCAACTTTTGTTATGGCTTCTCTTTTTATGATTCATTGACATTGTTTATTGTTTATTGCTCTTGATGTGCGGTGACCTTGAGTGATCTGAAAGGCGTCTTAAATAAAATGTATTATTATTATTATTATTATTATTATTATTCAAAGGGGTTTGACTGCTTATATGATTTTATTTCATTTTATATTTATGACGAGGCCAACATTTTTTTCTTTTAATTAAAAAGAAGTTCCCAAAAGAAGGTTTCAATGAATGTTTCTTTAAAAAACCTTTTTACGCAACAGAGAACGGTTCTTCAAAGAACCTTTATTTTTTAGAACCGAGAAGCCAATACACCAAAGAACCTATAATGAAACATAAAAAAACGTTTTTAATCTCCAAAGAGCCATATATATATATAAGCATCTCAAGAACTCTACATTAAAACTTTTTTGTTTTTTGTAAAAAGACTGATTTTGTTAAGCTTTTGAAGAATGCCCTTTACTCGCACTCTTTACAAAGAATACTGATTACAAAAGGTCTGTCTGTTTGTTTTCCCTACATTTCTGTAAGCCTACTTTACTTGCATTTTAGGAAGTGGACAAATCCAGCTATGGCAATTTCTTCTGGAGCTGCTGTCAGACAGCGCCAATATGACCTGCGTCGCCTGGGAGGGCACCAATGGAGAATTTAAACTGATAGACCCAGACGAGGTGGCCAGACGGTGGGGGGAGCGCAAGAGTAAACCGAACATGAACTATGACAAACTGAGCCGAGCTCTGCGCTATTACTACGACAAAAACATCATGACCAAGGTGCACGGAAAGCGATACGCGTACAAATTTGACTTTAACGGGCTGGCGCAAGTGTGCCAGCCCTCCTCAACCGAACAAGCTATTTACAAATTCCAGAGCAACTTCGCTCCCCTCCAGTTTTCAGGCATTTCCAAACTCAGTCTGGTTGCTCCAGGTGCTGGTCCGTCGGGGTTCTCATACTGGCCCGGATCTCCTCCGACCCTCTATCACAGCCACAACCTGCAACCGCCAGGACCCTTCGGTGCCATGTCTGCGTCACATATAAGTTGCGTTAACAATATCAACAGTTTAAATAACCTGAATAATATCAGTAGTCACTATAACTGATTTTTTTCATTTGCCACAGGAGTGCGCGCTGATAGACTACATAAGGCTAATAGGGCCCATTCAAAGGCGCAACTGATTTCAACATTGTAGACTAATATTCCAATCATACCCCAGATAAGAAAAAAAAGTGAAAAGGCCTTTATTCGATTGAAAGGATAATTTGGGAATAACATTTGGTGGATTGTTAATGTTGATCGCTTTAAGATAAGAAAGCAATTTAGCGCCATCTTATGGAACATAACACTATCACTGGTTAATTCGACATTAAAATCAGCTGGTTCTTCGTAGTCTGCAGAAGTGAAGAGAAAATTAACGCAATGTTGGAGAAAAGTCTACATGGTATGAGAACAAATGGTCAGAAGCAAAAATGAAGAGTTCCGATGCAAAAGCCTCTAAGTGCCATCTGAAATGTTCTTCTAAAATGATCCTTTTTCTCAGGCTCTCATGTGTAGGTTCAGTAATATCTCTTTAATAGCAATGAGTATGTTATTTTCATTGCCATTAAAGTGAAATAACTGAACATAGGAGCCTGAGAAAAATGCTCATTTTTGAAGAATATTTAAGATGGCACTTAGAGGCTTTTGCATCTGAACTCTTCAAATATGTTCGCTACTTGTAATCGAGCATAGTTAACACTTATGTAAAGCGCTTTGATATTTCATTATTTATTTAACGTCGACATTGACTTATTGAATATTGGGCATAGGGCTACATTTGAAGAAGCGTATGTCATAATAAACCCTAAATATTTTTTTTCGTGTGGGCCACTTAAGCACGCAAAGACTGATCACCAGTCTGTGTCCTTGCCTTGTTTTCACTCAACTGATTATTTAGTTATAATGTTTTGCTTTTTTTTTTTGCTTGTGACGGTACATTAAAATGATCAATGTCTTTGTGTGTTTCTGTAGCCAAAGTAATAACACAACCTGCTTGGGTGGTTTATAAAGTAATTTTAATGTATTCTTTTTTTTTATTCTATAATGTGTGTGTGTATAGGCTAATGTATTCCATAAAAAGTCCATAATGTTTATCATTAATGATGTAAATTTTAGTAATAAAAATACAATTCATAAAAAAAAAACGTTATACTATTAAGTAAACGTGTGGGGGTTTTACAAGTGTATAGTATACAGTTAAATGATACATTGCCTATATTAAACTAAATGTCCTCATAGGCATTGTAAAAAGAGAAAAAGAAAGCGGATCAATAAAATATAGGGGAAGGAAAATATCGCATAAAAAAGCGGAAAGCCTCCCTTCTGCCTCAAAATAGAAAAACGCGGCGTCTGTGCGTGAGCGCACTCTTCGTTTTAGAAAGACACAATCTGGACACAATCTGGACACAAGAGGGCGCAGTGTATCTATATTCGACCATAACCTCAACCATGAGAGAGACCGCGCCACAGGACATCATTTTAGCTTCATAAATAAAAAAACTAAAAGGTACAAACAGGGGAAATCAAATCCAGACCTTTTCCTGTAACGTATCAAGACTAAGATCCAAATGACAATGCATGTCCTACTTTGTGGGAAATGGCTTTCTTGTTTAATTGGATGGTAGCTTATTTGATGTCATAGATGAGGAGTCACGAGGAATTCTCAGCATTGCTGTGTATTGTGAGGAGACCCATAAGTCCCATTAGTGTGATCTGCATGTCAATAGCAGCTCTACTGGGGTCCTTTATGGCAGGATTTGTTTGCACTGACACACTGGACCTATTTTAAATCTAGCTCTAGTCTGGCCAACAGACTCCAATTTAGAGAAAGTGCCTGCACAGACTTGGTGCTTTCGTTCAGTCAAAATAATATTTGTATATGAGATAAATAACAAAAAAATCAAGGAGCCTCTATGTTTTACTTAATCGTCACACTTTTAAATATTTCTTATGCTCGCTTTATTTTTGAAAGTCAATTTTTGTGTAGACACATCTTAAACACTTGGTTTTGAACTTCTGAACTTTTCCTCCATTATTGCCCAGGAGGAAAGACACAGCCCATTTAACATAATATGCTCCAACAGTACTTACGCTATATGGGGCAAGTTGTCACAAAAGAACCTGCCTAACTATTTTAAGCTTTTATTCTACATTTAAAGAGCAAAACAATTATGAAACACTTTGTTGTGACAACCAGCCCTGGCCTCCCCTATATTGAAATTACATAATTATTTTCTTCTCCAAAATAATCAATACACATCTGTGCATTTGTCAAAAATATAAAATACATAGAAAATGTATTTAATATGGTTTTAACTTTCTATGACCTATAATGTTTAAAACAATTTATCTGTTTACATGTAATAGTTACACCCAAATACAGTAGAGTAAATGTACAATTCTTGTTGTTGTTATTATTACTTAAAAATAGTGACTTAGTGATTTATTGAAAGTGAAAATGTAAACGATAACAACAAAGAGCTTCTAATCTATATATATAAGGTCTACCCTCCGTAGGTCTCCTGGTTTCCTCAGTGCACACTAAGATAAATCACTCTTATATTAAGCTCTCCTGAGCTCTAGGGTGTCATTGAGTAGGTGAATGTACAAGAGTTAATCTGAACATTATCTGTGCTAAATTCAGTGCAGCGGCTTTTGCATAACACACAGGTGGGAGGAAAACATTTCCAATCTCTCCTGCCCTAAACAAGTGAATAAAATCAAACATGATAAAATACTTTTTACTTTATTCCTTCCTTATAAACTAACTGGTAATGGTTTAAAGCACTTAAAAAGGCCAAATGCTTTAGTTTCTTTTATTGTTGGGTCAAGGATAAATGCTATCATTAAAGGAAGCTGAAGAGCAATCAATCTAATTCATGATTGTTAATGGTTATTAGCCCCTAAAAGGCTGCTGAAATAATTGTTTCTGGTAAACACAACCCTCTGTGACAGGAGAGGAGTGTTGGCTGGTAGCCCCTAGAGAATCCTTAATGAGTACTGCTTTGAATCTGTCTGTGTGATCCAATGACTAACTCCCAGCCAGTGGGTGGCACTGAATGTATCATCCATTCAAGTCAGTCACTGAACGCCCACTCCCACTCTATATATAGTCAACATCCTCCATCTTGCTCTTGCCCAGAGAAACTGAAAAAAAGTGTAATCACTTCTGTGGCTAATTATTTCATACTGAATGCTTAAAAAATGTAGGCAAAAAATATCCAGTTTGAAACATTCTATATTATTAATGTCATTTTTTAAAATCTGTTATCTGTTTTAAGGGACGTTTACAACATGAGCGATACATTTAAATATAGGTAACTGTCACAATAATTAACTATATTAGCATCCACACCAGGGAATGATCACATTCAGATTTTTATAAGCATGCGCTGCAGTTCTGTCGTCTGTGCTTTAAATGCTTGAGTTCTTTAAAGCAGGGTGAATTCTGATTGGCTGTCTGTTTTTATCGTTCATCAGCTAGAAAAAAAAATTAAAAGCGAGTCCAACAATATTGTACCTCGATGCCGTCATTGTTACAGTTGTGTTGTGAACTCTGCTATCTTTTACATTTAGAATGATTTTTTAAAACTATACTGTATCTCAAACGAGCCATTTTATGAATTTCTGTCATAATTTATTAACCTTCATGTCATTCCAAGCCTGTGTGAATCATACGGACTGTTTTATGGCACTTTATTCTATTTGGAGCCCCTGGTCGCTGTATGCTTCACTGGATGATAAAGAGCAGCATGAACATTCTTCAAAATGTCTTCTTTTTTGTTCCATATAGAAAAAAAATATTGGTTTAGTAAATAAATAAATAAATAAGAGGGTGAGTAAATTCTGACACAAATTTTTGGCTGAACCATTCCTTAGAACAAAAGACGTATATTCTTAATTAAAAAGTATAAAATTTAGATAAATAAGTTATTTGTTTGGAAAGGAGTGCTGGCTTGTCTTGACATGCTCGTATAAGGTGTTTATTCAATGACCTGCCAAAAGAGTATTACTACTGACACTTTGATTTCCAATGTGATATAACCTATTTCTACTAATCTGGGATCAATTAGTGGAAAGACTTAGATAAGACCTCTTATATACAGTATATATAGCCAGGGCACAGTGCCATAAGGTCAAGCACATTAAGAAACCATTTTAACAAGAACTAAAAAAGAACTAAACCTGTGCTTGGCACTTTGGTTAGGGTCTCTGGGGAAATCACTTGTTTACTGAGGATCCTGCAGTCTTCATAGGTGCAACTAATAAGACACAGTCATTAAACAGACAGAACATATTAGTGTCAGTGATATTGTTTTTAAATATTATGAATCAGTTGTCCACCATTTATAACTGAATGGATAATTCCTTTTTGAATTCAAATTTAATTAAGAAATTCTGGAAAAAATTCAAGAAGAAGAATGAACAAAGGTCTGTTTTCCCCCCCAAAATTCTAAATAAAACATCCGGAGTATGTTTCACAAGAAAATACAATTTCAGTCTTTCTACTTCAAAATGTTATGTTTAATTCAATGCCACATGCTGTTTTTTTTTTTGGTAATTATTTGTGAAATATAGGCTGCAATTTCTGAGTGTAATAGTAAGTCGTTTTCAACGTATTTTTAGATACACTGAAAAAAACAAATCATAAATATTTAAGAATTAGCAAGTATAATGCAATGAATTTAAACAAAATTTTGAAGTAAAAAGTCTGAAATAGCAATTTCTTGTAAAAAGTACTCCAGTAATGATATTTACAACTTCAAAAAAAGCTATTTTTAAAGTATAGATAGCTAGACAGACAGAGACACACAGACAGATAGACAGATAGACAGACAGATAGACAGATAGATAGATAGATAGATATTAGACAGAATAGATAGATAGATAGATAGATAGATAGATAGATAGATAGATAGATAGACAGATAGACAGATAGATAGACAGATAGATATATAGATAGATAGATAGACAGATGATAGATGGATAGATATATTTAAAAATAGAAGCTTTAAAAATAGTTCCAAAACTGGGACGTGTTGATTGTGCTTAAAAACTACATGACACAAAATAGCCTCCTTGACTGTATATTTCTTGTGTGCACGTGGCCACGCGCTGCTTGAAGACAAAGCGCGTGAGGTTCTGCAGTGCTGTGAATGAGCGATCCTGCGGTTACTATAGCGACAGACTAGAGAGATAAAGCCCCAGTTCACATGTCTTCCGCTGACCCAGAGAAACCCCTCTCACAGACTGCAGCAAATTCCGGCCAATGAACTCGAAGATCATTCATGTCGAGTGTTTTATTCACAACTCTGCGAGACTCGCTCATTCTTGCTGGCAGGTGAACGGGACTGGTTGATGATGAAAAGCCCATAACAAAGACGCAGCCTTGGAGTAAAGTCGTGAACAAGATTGATCGATCTGTA